TCGCGATCTCCAGTCAGAACGGCAACGCTCTGACAGGCTGGAGATCGCAAGACACCTCCTGGTGGAGCTGCAGACTGAGGCTGGATCTCCATCAGGGCAGACTGAAAGGAGGGGCCTCGCACCCAGCGGCATTGTGGTCAAGCCGCCGGGCCCCCTCCTGTGTCGGGCTGAGGAACCGACATGTTAGTCTGCCCAAAGGTAGTGCAGCACGGAGGTGTGATTAGGGTGTGGCTGGGTCGTTCATTCCTGGCTTGAGGTTAAGAAGGGCTGGAGCAGTATGCCTCAGTGTCGTACAGCCGCCGCTCCTTTCTGTGTGCCGGCGCTTGGCATTTGGGAGAGTGAGTGAGGCTTTTCGCCGCCACATGTCATGGGGCACTCTAGTTGCCGCTGTGAGTTGGTTGCCTCCGGCCTCTTTGGCTGTACGCCACTTGCTGCTCTGATATGTGAGGCAGCGTTGTTTGTATGAGGCATCGTGATGAGGATTGCTGCCATCTTAGGCGTGTGGGATGTTGTTGCGTTCTCCCGCCCGCGTCTATCCATCAGGGTCTGCGTGTATGGTCCAAAGGGGGGGAGGTCTGCATCTGCAGGACTTCGGGACTGGATGACGGGCCACTTCATCTGCCCCGCATCAACTGCTAGGCCGCAAGTCGGATTTGCTTCAGCTAGTGTGTTCGGAGAGTCCATAGTGCCCCAGTCTGGTCCCACCAAGGGTTCCGTGAAGTGGGTACATGTGTAGCCCGGTTAGTATGGCTGTATTGTGACCAGGATGGCTTAAAATCTGCCATTTGGCAGGAGGTCAGGTTTCATGGGACTTCTCTGCATGGTGGCAAAGGCCCGCCCCCACACACCTTTTTTGAAAGGCCCCAGAGGCTGCAGCACCTAAGCAAGAGGCACCACTAACCAAACACTGCCATGAAGACCAAGGAACTCTCCAAACAAGTAAGGGACAATGTTGTTGAGAAGTACAAGTCAGGGTTAGGTTATAAAAAAAATATCAAAATCTTTGATGATCCCTAGGAGCACCATCAAATCTATTATAACCAAATGGAAAGAACATGACACAATAGCAAACCTGCCAAGAGACGGCCGCCCACCAAAACTCACAGACCGAGCAAGGAGGGCATTAATCAGAGAGGCAGCACAGAGACCTAGGGTAACCCTGGAGCAGCTGCAGAGTTCCACAGCAGAGACTGGAGTATCTGTACATAGGATGACATTAAGCCATACGCTCCATAGAGTTGGGCCTTATGGCACAGTGGCCAGAAGAAAGCCATTACTTTCAGCAAAAAACAAAATGGCACATTTTGAGTTTGCAAAAAGGCATGTGGGAGACTCCCAAAATGTATGGAGGAAGGTACTCTGGTCTGATGAGACTAAAATTTAACTTTTCAGCCATCAAAGAAAACTCTATGTCTAGCGCAAACCCAACACATCACATCACCCAAAGAACACCATCCCCACATTGAAACATGGTGGTGGCAGCATCATGTTGTGTGGATGTTTTTCAACAGCCGGCACTGAGAAACTGGTCAGAGTTGAGGGAAAGATGGTTGGTGCTAAATACAGGTATATTCTTGAGCAAAACCTGTATCACTCTGTGCGTGATTTGAGGCTAGGACGGAGTTTCACCTTCCAGCAGGACAATGACCCCAAACAATGCTAAAGCAACACTTGAGTGGTTTAAGGGGAAACATGTAAATGTGTTGGAATGGCCTAGTCAAAGCCCAGACCTCAATCCAATAGAAAATCTGTGGTCAGACTTGTAGATTGATGTTCACAAGCGCAAACTTGAAGGAGCTGGAGCCGTTTTGCAAGGAGGAATGGGCAAAAATCCCTGTGGTAAGATGTGGCAAGCTCATAGAGACTTATCTCTATGACTTGTAGCTGAGATTGCTGCAAAAGGTGGCTCTACAAAGTATTGACTTTAGGGGGGTTGAATAGTTATGCACATTGACTTTTATGTTATTTTATCCTATTTGTTGTTTGCTTCACAATAAAAAAAAAAAATTTAAAAAAAAAAACATCTTCAAAGTTGTGGGCATGTTCTGTAAATTAAATGATGCAAATCCTCAAACAGTTCATGTTAATTCCAAGTTGTGAGGCAACAAAACACGAAAAATGCCAAGGGGGGTGAATACTTTTTCAAGGCACTGTATATAGTCAGTAAGAGATCCTCTATTTAAAATATATAAATAAGGATTGTCTTGGAAGCAATAATGTTTTGTCTTTTAGATATTTTATTAAATAAAAATATAAATATAAACATATAAAACCATTACAATAATTTATAGCAGAGTTTATAAGATTTTTCATTTTAGGACCTCCCTTAACTTGGCAAAGATACAAGGCCATAACTAAAACGTAAGGGTGTACACGTCATGGGAAATTCCCTGACTTAGGACACGATGGCATCTTAAAGTCTGAACAGCTCATCTATTTAGGGTTACAAAAGTTACTTTCAATCCACCAATCAGAGTGTTGTTATGAGTCAAATTACACAGCGTGGGAAAATTGCAAAGAACTTTCCCACGCTGTGCAAAATGACACAGAGCACTCTGATTGGCTGGATTTCAAGCTAACCAATCAGTGTGCTGTGACAGGTAAATGTAGAGACTTACCTGTCAGTCTCTTCATTTACCTGTCAGAGCACTCTGGTTAGATGGCTTAAACCAGGGCTGTCCAACCTGCGGCCCCCTAGATGTTGCTGAACTACAGTTCCCATGATTCTTTCAATGAAACAGGTAGCCAGGGAAGTTCAGCAACATCTGGGGGGCCGCAGACATCCCTGGCTTAAACCAACCAACCAGAGTGCTCTGAGGCTAATTGCAGGGCGGGGTAAGGCTTTATAAGCCTTCCCCCGCACTGCAGAGCTCAGTCTGCGTGGTGCCTTCCATGGGTGAAGATGGATTATTTTTTTTGCACTCAGGTTTTTTTTTTTTTTTTAAGTGTGTCGGTTATTATGGATTTTTATTTTACCTTTTTGGAGGCTGAAAAAAGAAGATTTTAGAAGAAAGAAGACATCAAATGGCACATTTTATTTTTATTTTTTAACAGATATATAGTTAATGGTCCCCCTCATTATTTTTAGGGTGAGGGGGGTAGATAAGGGTTATGTATTTTTAGGAGGGGTGTGACTAGGGATTTGGGGACCCCTAGTTACCTAGGGGGGTTACATTTTTATTTAGGGCCCCCACCCGCTGCTCAGGGGTGGAGGCCAGGGGGAGGACAATAGGTCCCCTCCCTTATTCTAACTTAGGGCCCCCACCCACCGCTCAGGTTTCAGGTCTCTTCACGAGACCAATCCGCTGCCCATAGCTTATTTACGAGCAAAGCACCAGCCACGAGAGCCGCGAAAGCAGCAGCACCCTATACAGAGTGTGCCCCGAAGGAAGCTTCTAACCCTGACAACAAGAGTAACCAGCGAATTCATCGAACGAGGATAGTAACTGATACTGTCTTAAATAGGCGAACAAATGATACCACCAGTTGACCTGACGAGAGAAAGCAAAGAGGTGACGTAACTTCCACATTGTAACGGCTTACCTTAGTTGGGAGTCCGGTAGCCAGAGATATATGCTCACCCTTGCAAATAGAAAAAGACCAAGGTGGTAAGGTAAGAATTCACCTGGCCTGTGAGTCTGTGCACGGGGGCTGTGTAGAAATATACTCCAAGTCACAGTACAGGCAACGACAAGCAGAAGAGTAATCAGGGTAAGCCAGAGGTCAGGGAAAACGAATAAAAGAGGTGAGGTCAGGAGCCTGGTAAAAACTGGAGAACACACAATCTGCATACTCAGAAATAGGAACCAGGAGGTGGGAGGGTCTGGGAGGGAGGGTCTGCCGGAGATTGGCAGGGATGTGTCAGCTGACCGGAGTTCGTCGGCGTTGCCATTTTGCTTCCCAGGGCGATAATGAATGGTAAAGTCAAATGGCTGCAGCGCCAAGCTCCAGCGCAGCAGCCTGGCATTGTCCCCAGCCACACGGTTCAGCCACACCAACGGGTTGTGATCTGTGAGTAAAGAGAAAGGTTGCCCATACAAATAAGGCTGTAACTTTTTGATGGCCCACACCACGGCCAGGCATTCTTTCTCAATGGCGGCGTAGCTTACTTCTCGTGGTAATAACTTTATGCTTAAGTAAGCTACAGGATGTTCTCCGCCATCTGCTCCAACTTGGCTCAGCACTGCTCCCAATCCAAACATTGAAGCGTCTGTGTGAACAAGAAATCGTTTAGTTGGATCAGGAGCAGCAAGTACAGGTGCATTGGTCAAAGCAGTTTTGAGTTGTTGAAATGCCTGATCACACTGTGGGGCCCAGATGACCTGTCGAGAAAGATTTTTGCGTGTCAAGTCAGTAAGGGGTTTGGCCAGGGCACTGTAATTGGGTACAAACTTCCGGTAGTACCCTGCGGTACACATGAAGGCTAACACTTGGGTTTTTGTCCGGGGGTAGGCCACTTAGCTACAGCCTCTATTTTGGCGGGTTCCAGTTTCTGTTGCCCACTCTTTTTCTGTGACCAAGATACTGTACCTCCGTCATCCCTATGTGACACTTGCTGGGTTTTAGCATCAACTCTGCCTCTCCAATACGGTCAATGACAGCTCCAATATGTCTCAGATGGTCTGACCACGTCTGGCTATATATGGCGATATCGTCCAGGTATGCACACTCCTGGGACCCATCCAGTAGCTGATCTACCATCCTTTGAAACGTCGCCGGAGCGTTTTCCATTCCGAATGGCATGACTCAAAACTGGTTCAGGCCAAGCGGGGTGGCAAATGCCGACTTGGGAATGGCATCTTTGGCTAAAGGAATCTGCCAGTACCCCTTGCACAAGTCAATCGTAGTGAGGTACTGGCCTCGTGCCATCTTATACAGCAGCTCATCTATCCGGGGCATCGGGTAGGCGTCAGACACTGTTTTGTTATTTAGCCTCCGGTAGTCAACACAGAACCGTGTCGTGATATCCTTCTTGGGTACTAGCACTACCGGCGATGCCCAGGGTCTATCGGAATGTTCGATAACCCCTAGCTGCAACATCTCTTCAATTTCCTTCCGCATATGTTCCCTGACTGCTTCAGGGATACAATATGGGGTCTGCCGCATCGGTAGCTGTCCTGGGGTCTCTACCTGGTGAGTGGCCAGCGGAGTGCACCCTGGTAAATTGGAGAAAGTGGCTCCCTTAGCCGCAATTAACTCCTGTACCTGGGCACGCTCCTGAGGACTTAGCTGCTCCCCCAGCTGAACACCTGTGGAGTTCTCTGCCTGATCTTCTCGCTCTAATAAATCGGGTAGCGGAAGATTCTCCTGATCCTCAGAGGCTGATGCGCATATAGCTGCCACGTCCTCTATCCTCTCATGGTAGGGTTTGAGCATATTCACGTGGAGCATGCGTCTCTTCCCTACCCCTGATCAGGGGCCAATCACATAAGTGGTGTCGCATCTCTGCTCCACCACCTGGTATGGGCCCTGCCAGGTGGCCTGCAGCTTGTGATTGCGGACAGGTTTTAAACTCAAAACTTTCTGTCCCACTTGAAAGCTGCGGTCCCTGGCTCCCCTATCATACCATCGGCGCTGGCATTGTTGAGCCGCCTGGAGGTTTACCCGTACGGTCTGGGTTAGTGCCTCCAAGCGGTCCCTGAACTCCAGCACATATGGTACAATGGGTATCCCATCTGCACTGC